CGAAAACCGATACTACACCATTTAACTGCCATTCAAATTATTAGCACTATGACTACTCCTAGTACTACTACTACTACTACTACTACTACTACTACTACTACTACTACTACTACTACTACACTACTACTACACTACTACTACTACTACTACTACTACTACTACTACTGCTCGTACTCCTACTGCTCCTACTCCTCCTACTACTACTACCACCAGCACCACCACCACCACCGCCACCACGACGACTGCTACTGCTGCTGCTGCTGCTGCTACTGCTACTGCTACTACTACTGCCACTACCGCTACCACTACCACCACTGCCACCACCACCACCGCTACTAGTACCACTACCACTACTACCACTACTACTGCTACTATACTACTACTACTACTACTACTACTACTACTACTACTGCCACTACCACTACCACTACCACTACCACTACCACTCCAACGCTACTGCTACTACTCTACTACTACTACTACTACTACTACTACTACTACTACTACGTTATTACTACTGCTCATCACTACTCAGTACCACTACGACGATGACTGCAGATCTTGCTACTGCTTTCATCCATGCCAGTCCAATACGATGTGACCAAGTCACGGTGCTTGCCAACTATATCCTATCACACTATTCGCATTACACCACCAGCCGACCTTCCTCAGCTTCTCCGGGAAAAGGCTAGACTGCTGACGTAAGTCCTGTGACAAGCTGTGCGCGCAACTCTCGGCTGAGAGGTTGAGAAGGCCATTCCTTCAGCATGTATCTAAAGTAGGTCTGATGCAGTCCTCGAGCATCTGAGCAGCAACCGACGAGGGCACTCCTGAATCTGCGACACTCGCTACGACAGGCGTAGAGTGCACATCACGGAAAGCTGTAGCAAACAGACCCGTCTGAAACAAAAACATCTGACAGCAACATACGAAGCAGCGAGCGTGACCTTCCGCGAAGCGCGAATGGCTGCAAATATCGAAGAGATCACTGGGGCCTGGGATACACAAGCGGCACAAGATCTTGTTGAATGTGCTTGAATATCCCCCGCTGCCGAAACAAAAACTGCTAATCCCTGCCTCCTTTTATTGGATCCCAAAATCATCTCTGCCGTTGAAACCTAGTCTGAATTTAGGGGGGAGGGTTTCGAAGCTCCAAATACCCTTAGAGCACAGTAACAGCAAGAGCAAGAGCAAGAGCGGGAGCACCAGCAAAAGCAGAGCAGGAGCAAGAGCACGACCCCTCAAAAGTGGCGGTAGAGATAAACATACCCCCTAATACTAAAAACACTTTTCGAGTTTCTATTGGGGGGCCCCGCCAGTTTAATATTGGGGGAAGGGATTAGGCATGCTAGGCTGAACAAGATGAGCTGGCTGCAAGACGTGACGTTTCGTTCTGAGCGAATTCCATGACTCACTTCACTGACGATGACAACCTATCGATATGTAGATCTGTACCTGTATCTGTATATATGCACAATCTCCACCTATGTATCTATCTATCTATCTATCTATCTGAATATCTGATCTGATCTAATCGAATCTGCTCTACTCTAATCTAATCTACTCACTATATGTACAATACACCCAGAGGCATACACACATTCAGACAGACAAACATACATACAGATCGGTCCTGACAGGGACTTCCTCGTTCGAAGCTGCGAAGCTGCGAGGGCTACCACCATTTACTATCCAAAGCTTTGTGCACACCCTCGACACTTCTGAGTTCCCTGCGTGTCTGTCCCGTTGCAACGGTCTCCAGCGCTCGGCATAGCCATCTTGACCTTGCCTTTGTGGAAACGCATCTGATCTCGAATGCATAGGGTGAACCCTCAACCCAAAGGCCCCCAAGTCCCTTTGAAGCGCTCAACCGAGTGGAAGCAATCTGCCCAACTCGCCTCCGGAAGGAGCGCCGTTGCGGACGTGAGATTGACGATGACCTGTCAGTCGGCGATGCTTATGCAAGGTTTCACAGCTACTTGCTCAAATGTGCTTCACCGCTGCAGATTCCCCAAGCGAGTCTTAGCGATTCCTCCCTGCACTCGTGTCAGCAACATCCGTGGTAGCAGACCTCAGAGGAACGGTCTCGCCGGACCACCTCAGCTGCCAAAGGCAAGACCAGGGCGAATGAAACAGGTGGAGAGAGTACCGCCCTGCTGCTCAGAATCTGGCCTCCGGCTGTTTCCCACCAACATGGGCCTGTTGCTTGCAAGGAGCAGCTTCTTCAGGGTGGATCCTGTGTCTTTCCCGTCTGAGCTATGCAGCTGGCGCTGTTTCTCTTAAGAGCCACCAAAACATTGCTGCATCAGCTCCCAAAATGCCAACTTCAGTGGGTTTAGGGTTTAGGGTTTTGGGTTTAGGGTTTGGGAATCCAACAAGCCAACCTTTTAAATCCAACAGCCGCTTGAAGTCCAAGCGCTCTGAAGACCCCGAAAGTGCCCTTGATAATAAACAGTATTAGATTCGAGTAGATTGGATGAGATAGTTTAGATTAGAGTACATTCGATCAACTTACGTGTTGTAACATAACATATGACATGATATGATGTGACTAACCCTAAACCCTATAAAAAAGCCCTAAATGCCTAAACCCCTTACCCCCTAAACCCCAAGGCAGCCGAACCCTAAACCCTAAACCCTAAACCCTAAACCGAGCCTTGAGCTCCAACCACTCTTTGGTGATGTCTTCGGCCCGGTGCCTGCTTATTAGGGTTTAGGGTTTAGGGTTTAGGTTTTTTTTGCGGGCCCTTTCCCAACTGCCGAGGTAGCCGAAATTCCCTACCGCTTATTGGGGTTTAGGGTTCTTCCGATGCTATGCTTTGGGGTGCAGGGGCTGGGGTTTAGGGGTTTAGGTTTAGAGGGTTGGGTTTAGGATGGTTTGGGGTTTGGGGATTTAGGGTTCGGGGCTCTGGGGCTTAGGGGTTTAGGGGTCAAAAGTCAGGTTCATGCTGTTGTTGCTGCTATGCGACTTATTCGATGAGTACGATCACCACCATTTTGCCGCTCTCGCTGTGACTAACTACTCTTGCTGATGCAGCTCTAACTCTTCACACCAGCGATTAGCTACTGCGCCTGGAATGTCGCCGGTGCTCTTGGTAGTTGTCGTTAGTCTTATGCTTCTTCCTACGCGTAACACAGTATTCTAAATACGCCCGATAGCAGCTGCTATCATGCCGCTGCCGCTACCAGTGCAAGCACGAGTACGCTATTAAGCTACGAGTGGTGGTGCTGCCTCCTCCCACTCCCACTACCACGCCTTGTCCTAGTCCGAGTCCTATAGTCCTACTCCTACTACTCCTACTCCTACTCCTACTCCTACTCCTGCTCCTACTCCTACTCCTACTCCTACTCCTACTCCTACTCCTACTCCTACTCCTACTCCTATTACTACTACTACCACTACTACTACTACTGCTGCTTCTGCTACTGCTACTGCTACTGCTACTGCTACTGCTACTGCTACTACTACTACTACTACAACTGCTGCTACTGCTACTGCTACTGCTACTGC